TTTTTTTTTAAATTGTTGTCGAGTCAGCCGGATTATGGCTTCAAATGTTTCGAAACTCGAGACAACATACGGAACAAGCAGGCTGGTTGTTTTTTGACAGACGATGAAGGCCGGGGGTGAAAGAAATCTGCTATCAAACATATTAGGACCTCGTTAACTGAAAATAATTCGATTCGTACTTTCCACTGACTCAGTCAAATTTTCCTTAAGAAGCATTTCATTCGATCATTTGGCGTTAACATCCTCAAATCTCCATTTTCTAGATGTGTTTTTCGTTTCCCTTAAGGGGGTATCACTACAAATGATTTTTTCATGGAAACAGAAAGTTCGTAAGAAAATGTGAACCGTCATTTTTCTTTTCATAAAACTGGTTTCTATGCAATGGTAGAAGTTCGAAAGGATGACAAGTTTGCATTATAATTAAAAAAACAAATTAACGAGCTAGCATTAATTAATAAGCCCGGCCGAAACAATACTGTACATGGCTATCTCGTTGTAATTTCGCGTTTTCATTTTTATAGTAAGAAATGATTGAAGGATCTGGAAATTGACTGGCCGTTTAAGTGGTAAGACGCTTTTTGCTTCTTTCAGCCTGATTACTTTGAGGGTCTCAATGCCGGGGTTTACTGAACCGTCAGCCGTTAGGCATGAATAGATTGTGCTAGTAAATCCTGCAAAAGTTGCTTGACAATACACCCAACAGTTGCTCTAAAATTGCTTAAAAATATAAAAGTTGCCACCCAAATTTTAAAAAGTTGTTTACTTTTGAGAGTCATTTTGTTTTAGATTACTACTCAAAGCACGACGTTGTATGTGTAATTTAACATCATTTGTTGTGATCAATATAATCTTTATGCTCAACATAACTAATAATAGAAAGTATTTTCTAATGACGTTTTGGATAGTCTTTCACGCGATTCCAAGCGCATGTTGCATTTCCTTTCCTTGAGGACGAGTGCGAGCTACCGCTTCCTCGTTGTTTGTATTTGGCTTCGTTGACGTGAATTTTGCGTTTTCTAGAAATTGAAGCTCTAGGAGGACTACTGAGAGTTGCCCCAGCGGCCATGGTAACCTCAATAGGGTCAATATCTGTATTATCTTCATTTTCCTCGTCAGACATTTCAGCTTCTAATTGTGATGTCTCGCACCGCAGCAAATACCAAGATGGCGGGGACAGAGCTGAATAACGTACACGCATGCGCTAGATTTTGCCGCGGAAGCACGGATTTTGAGTCGTTTGCATGAATGATTTGCTATTCTATTGCTTCGAGGTGTCGTTTTCCTTGCCGCTTTTCTTTTACAGAACAACCTCCAAAACTCAACCTCGTTCCCAGGGCTTTTCCCTGAAGTTTGGCGGGCGGGAAACCGCCAAACTTCAAAAAAGGAAATTCAAAAAGGATAAAGCCCTGGGAACGAGGTTGCCAAAAACTTGGTTCACCCCCTAAAAATTCTCAAAAATTAATTTTCCCCTTAAAACCTCTGGAAATAGGAAAATGGCTTCGACGAAAACAGAGTTCCTCGGTTTTAAAAGTCAGCCCTTATTTCTTCCGCTAACTTCGTTAAATTTTAGACTTAGGACACTTGAGCACGCGTTGTTGACCGCAACCCACTGACGTAATATTTCAACATTCAGCTCTGTCGATGGCGGGCGGGAAGCTCTATTGTTGGAGCAAATAACCGCTGAATGTAAGCGCCGTTAGGGTAGCTGCTGTCCAGTTCGTGGGCGCACGTGTTTTTTCAAAAATTATCTGTAAGAACGTACGACATCCTTAGTTTTGACCAGTTTTAATAGAAAAAAAAAACATTTTAATAAAGACTTTTTTGATGGTTTGGTCAGTTTTTAACCATTTCTGGACTCAAAAGTTGCCAAGGAAGACAAAAGTTGCTCTAGGTTGCTCGAAGTACAAAAAGTTGCTGAAAACGCTAAAAGTTGCTCAAAAGTTGCCGAGCACAATCTATTTATGCCTATCAGCCGTCAAAGTGTCTAAAATTTAAGCTCTACTGAATTGTAGCCAATTCAAAGACATGGAAACAGATTTTCGTCTTTTTTTGGCCCGACCATCCTTTTGAAGATATACAAAGTAACAATTTTACCTATTTTAGTTTACGGTTCCACCATATGGGGATCCTGCACCAAGAAGAATTCCGACTTTTTTAAACGGCGACGATGTACGCGTCTTTAACTAGTGTTTAAATAATAATTTACAATTGTCCCACGCAACTTCAGAGTCATATGATTTCAGATCAGAACTTTGTGGTAGGTCCTTAAGAAAGGCTAAGGATTTAAAAACTTTTAAGTCAAAAACGAGCTATCCAGAACTTCTTAACGCATTAGGCCTCTCCCATCTTTAAAACAACAAAGATTAATTAAAAATTATATTGTCCATTTATTAACGCCGTTCGTAATTCTTTAGCGCCCAAAAGTATACAAGGAGGGCCTTTGAACGATCAATTAGTAGCGCCTAATATAGGATGGAAAATTAATTATAGCAAATTCTATTTTTCGCATGAAATTCCTTTCTTTTATTAAAACCATGGGGTGCCAAAGAGAACAACTGAGCACTCCAATAAGCCTCTTTTGTGATTAAAAGCCTATCGATCTCTGCAGAGCCACTAGGGGCCTGTACCTGATGAATGCGTTGGAACGAAAAATCGTCCAGGGTGTGTGGGGTTTTGTTGAAGTGTATCGCTACTTCACAAGTTGTTTTGTTTGTGAGCATAGTAGATTTGTGATTTCGAAATCTCACTTTAAAGTCGGTGGTAGTTGATCCCACGTATTGCAGGCGACATTTCTTACAGGAAGCCAAGTAAATCACATTTTTAG